TCTATATGAAATTTTGTTTTCTCCAAATACATACATTATATATTAGTATGTGTTTTAGTTAATTGTGCTTATGAATTATCCTCCCACTAAACTGTATGATCCATGAAGCCAGAAACCATTTTTACCTTGACTTTGCCTCTTCCTCAGTCCTTAAAATAGGGCTCTGCAAGTTGTCATATAGTTTTGTTGAATTAATAAAATAATGATTATAATGATTACATCAGACTTTATTTTATACCAACAGGTAAATTTTACTGTTTCAGATATATTATGCTTCAAAAAAATGACTCTTTTCACTTACTCAAACAGGACATTTGCTTAACGCAGAAACTAGCATGTGCAAACATTATAGCTATATCTAGTCTATATAATCCATATTTTTATTTATTTGTAAGTGAATTGAATTGCCTCACTCCACAGGATAGAGAAGGGAAACATCATGAACACAAGAATAGTCCAATATAGAAATGACATTGAAAATTGTTTCCCTCTCTGGAAAGCAAGATGCAATTAAAAAAAACACATTAAAATGATCTGGTTTTTTGAATAGCAGCAAGAACACAGTTTAGTTTATGTTACACATATTTGTAATGGGTACAATCAATTAAATTTCATTATTTTTTGTCAATGCTGAAATATGGAACAAGAATAAAAAATATTGGATGGCAGAAGTTAGAGATGAAGATTTGAGTTTTGAGAAAGGCAGAAAGTCAGGGAAGCAGTGGTTCTAGAGCAGTGATGGTGAAACAATAATGTGGCAACCATGCTGAATATGGAGGCCACCATAGACAAGAGAACCAGAGATAGATCACAAGTTCATAAGATAATAGATCAAGAACTAAAAGGCAGTGAGCATGCAGCCCAACCCCCTCATTTTACAGATGAGGTTGCAGAATCTGAATGAGTCAAGACACTAGAGATCATGATAATAGTAAAAAGTGTGAATGAGATGATACAGGTGGAAATATACATGGCTGTGGTTAGAGAGTGGGATTTTAAAATTCTGATTATTGGAGGAGGTAAAATTCTGAGTGATGGTGATTGATTCAGTTATGACCATGCTAGGGAGTGGCTATAGTTCGGTGGAGATGGGAAAAAGTTTGAAATTGAGGATATTAAGGCATTGAGTGGTCAAGATATTTAGGAGTCATCAACATATATGCTGAATACATATAAAATATATTGGGAAAATTAATTTTGCAAGAAGAATGTTGATTTTCAGCATAGGGACAGCAGTATAGAAAAGTGGAGATTTTAAAGTAGGGAAATATTTGAGATTAATTCATGAGATTTCTATGAGGCACTAAAATGAATATATTCAAATATAATTATGAGTTTATTTCTAAAAATAATTTTTCAACTAATAATGTTCATTTAAGAATTGTGAATATAACATTTTTTCTGTAAACAGTTAATGCTTTTGGTTTCGTGATGTCTATGATGGTACGTCAGCAAAAGTCTTAACTGGAATTTTGAAAACAATATAGATTTTATTTTTAATTTTAATTTTTTCCCACTTAATAGTATTTTATTTTTCCAATTACATGAAAAGATAGTTTTCAATATTCATTTTTATAAGATTTTGAGTTTCAAATTTTTTCTCCGTTTCTCCCTTCGCCCTGCCCCAAGATGGCATGCAATCTGATATAGGGTATACATGCATGATCCTATTAGACTTATTTCCATATTAGTCATGTTGTGAAGGAAGAATCTGAACAAAAGAGGAAAAACCAGGAAAAAGAAAGAAAAAGAGAAAATAGTATGCTTCAATCTGCATTCAGATTCCATAGTTCTTTCTATGGATGTGGATAGCATATTCCATCATGAGTCTTTTGGAATTGTCTTAGATCATTGTATCTCTGAGAAGAGCTAAGTCTAACAAAATTGGTCATCACACAGTGTTGCTGTTACTGTGCACAACATTCTCCTGGTTCTGCTCACTTCATTCAGCATCAGTTCATATAAGTCTTTCCAGGTTTTTCTGAAATCTGCCTGTTCATCATTTCTTACAGAACAATAGTATTCCATTACAACAATATAGATTTTAAAAGTTCAGATATTTAATGCTGATGGGCTTTTTATTTCTATTTTTATTTATTACATGTTGGTAAAATTTTTAAACATTAAAAAACTATAAATATGTATATTTCCAGATTAATGTTTAGATCATGCTTTTTTTGGTGCTTAATGTTTGAATCTTCATTTCAGTTAAGAGCAATATCTTCAATTGACTAATTTTTCATTAGATCATAGATAAATCATCTATTTTTAGTAGCATTGAAGTGCAGTAATTAGCATACTATAAAAATGTTTAGTGGGATACACAGATATTTCGTAATAATTTAGTCTTATTTTAAAAATTTTCCTTACACATAAATCAATAATTCAAAAGTAGGTCTAGTGAGAGCAAGTTTCAGTCACTTGTGCAAATTATATTTTCAATTACAACTACAAGAATGAGAATTTTATTTTTACCACATCTTATGACTTGTTGATGCTAGTTACTAGAATGAATAATTCAATTTTTGTGATTATAATAGAAGCACATACATATTTCAGTGTCCACCATTCCCTATTAATTTGAAAATTGAACTCATTTTGCTCCAAATGGCAGTCACATGGATAATAAGGAGTCTGACTTTGCTCAATTTTTAGACTCTAGTAGGTTATACCCACTTATATAATATATATATATATATATATATGTATGCACACACACACACACACACACACACATATATATATACACACACAGATCTCAAGTAAGATAGATGTTTTAAAACAATTTAAAGAATTCAGTTGTTCTTTAAATGTAGGTAGAATTTTCACTTGTTGGTAAAAGATTGTTGACAATCCCAAAATGAATTTTTTTAATTGGTTGAACTTTGTTGCCACTGAAAGCAAAACAAAGCTAACCCTTCCTGGTCAAATGCCAACATTCTGAAAGAATAACGAATGTATGCTGAAATACATTATATTGTCCATACTTATGCCAAATTCAAAATTTATAAGAGTATGATTATCTAGGTTTTGGATCATTAGGCAGTATTAACTGTTTTAAATGTGTAATCATTGCTGTGTAATCATAAATGTATAATCATAGATCCTTCCAAATTTGTATTCTAGGATAATTAGACAAGAAATGATATGGTGGAATTATTATAGATCCTAGATTTGGGTAAGATTTAGGTTTTATTCTCTATACTTATTAGCTGTGTAGCACAGACAAATCTTTACAAGGTTCAGTTTCCTCATCTATAAAATAGAAATGATAAAGGCAGGCAACCCTCTAAGACTATAAGTGGTGGAACAAATGGCAATCAGATTTCATATACTTTTATAGTTTCCTTGCTGGGAGTTCCCTATATCAATTCAGCAAGTCCAATTCCCATTTTCTAACCATACCCCCAAAAATGCCTTTGTTAATGGAATGTTATCTGAATCAAAGGATATTTAAAAATGGAGTTCAGGGAGTGATTTCCAAGGTTATCTTTTCCCATTCCCTCATTTTACTGGCTCAGAGACAGAAAGGATCAGTAACTTGTCCAAAGTCATATACACCCTGGTCTTCCTGATTCCCAAGCCTTCAGTCTCTAAACCATTCTGTACACATCTCCCAAATCATCCTTCTTTACGTACAAGTATGCCTAAAAACCTTCAATGTTTCATTAATTGCCTGTTTGTACTTTGTTGTCAAAGAGGACTGATAACATCATAGGATGATGTTTTGACTTACATGAGAATTGGATTTAAGTGAGGCAGAGTTGCACAAAGTCGTCAGCCTCACTCTGTCTTCCAGAGTCATCAAAGTCCAGTGGCAAGACAAAATTCAATATGACTGGTGACGGCCAGGGATGCAGTGGATGACTTTGGTGTCATCAAAGTCTGACCAAGCTCTAAGTGATCCATAGCATCACCCTCAGATACTTCTATGGTTTTTGGAACAAATTGTCCTCATCGGTCCATTCCACCACATGCTTGGGGTAGACATCCCCTTAACTTGCTGATGGGTTTGAGGTCTGTCAGTTAAGCTGAACCTAGTTTAGCTCTTCTCCTCTGACAGTTTCACCAAGGTGTGGCCACTGTGCATGTTACAGGTTTTTAGAGCCTGTAGACTCAAATACAACCTTCTTACACTGGAATTCAAAAGCTAATTCTGGTCCCAAGCTAGCTTTCTAGTCTCTCTGTGAACTCTATGTTTAATGCAATTCAAATAAATATTTACCTGTTTTTGAATTATAAAGAGCTAAATTCCAGCTATGAGTTGGCTAGTGACCTAGATAACTCTCAGTTACAATGCTGTGGTTTCTTCAGGCTATGGTTTAGGGACCAAGTGAAATGGGCCCTATAGCTGCTTGAAAAGTCTATTCTGTTCCTAGTACCTAGAGGAATATGATGAATATAGTGATAAATGTTTGTTTAATTAAATTGAATTCAGGGCTCAGGATGACACTGAATTTACTAGAGAAACCTAAGGGATGAGTTGTTTTTAGGATTTCTCTGAGATCTTTCCCTCCTTTCTCCCACCTCCCTCACCCTGAATATAAACTCCATGTGAACAGAGTAGCCCCACCTGCTCTCACTCCCCATCCCCAGCCCCCTGCCTCATGATGTATATGGTTTTGCTTTTTTCAATTATGTAGGTATAGAAAAAAATTACTTCATAAAACTATATTGATAAGAAACTTGTGAAAATAATAATTCAATCTACTTTCTTTCTTAAAAGTAATTTATGTTAAATGCAATTTTTAAACAATATTTAATTTCTCAAATTAAATTAGTACTTTCCATTAGAGCGGGGTAGGGAAGAAAAGAGAGAAAAGACACTGTACTATGTTCCCAGAAATATATCACACGGTCATAAGTGTGACACATTGCTGGTTTCAGTTTTGGTCATCAATAAAGGAAATTGTAATAGCTCAAGATCATTTAATGCAATCTAAGTGAGAAAATATTTTTATGGCAGATTTATCTTAGTTAAACTTTAGAAAGAGTATTACCTGAACAACTTTTTGGGACTGCACATCAACAATAAGTACTCGGTCCAGAGTAGGCTGAGTTACATAAATGAACTTGTCTTTGACATTAACAGCAGAGGCCCATACACATCGCTGAACTGTATCCCCTTCAGCTTGGGGACAAACTTCATCCTGTAATCCAAGAAGAGAAAACAGAAAGTGAAATGGCAATCACACATCATGATGCAGAAATTTTTTAAAAAAGATGGTGGTTTCTGTTTTTTCGTCCCAATTACTCTTCGGTACCATGTGTTTTTCTGCATCACACGTAAGAAAAAATACAGCATCAAAATAAATAAAAGTGGTATAGGGAACATAGTCAGAGCACAATCAAATGAATTTTGAAGTTAGAATGAATGAAAACCACTTGAAAATGAAAAGTATTTTCCCTAACCTCCTTTTCTTACTTTTCCAATAAAATTATGGATTCTATTAGAAACTATTTTTCTCCTAATTGTCCAAAGAGTAGAAATTTAGCACTCACTTTAGGGAGATGAATGTTTAACAATCTTAACTGCTTGCTTGTATTGCTTGAATGTACTCTGTTTTGTTTCTTGCTTGAGTCCAAAATCTTTGAATTATAATAAAACAGGAGTGGAATATTCTATGATCAAGTACCTTCTTTATGGGGTATAATACTTGAAAGGATGTCCAGGTATAAAGACTGGCCATAGAAATGAGACTGAGAATCAGAGTAAATAAATTGTGGGAAGAGAAAGATGGCCACATTTATGTTTCAACTTTTAAGCTTATATGAAAGAAAACTCAAGATACATTTAGGAGACCAAGAAGACAGTTCAAGACCCAGCTCTTCTATTTGCTATGTGACCTTGTGGAGCTCATTTAAAATCTGAGCTTCCATTTATAATAATAACAAATGCTAGTGAAAATATAGCATTGGAATGATAGAACACTACATAAAAATGAAGCATTACTGTTATCTACACCAGTTTTGATTTCCAAGAAACATCACAGGTATAACAATTTACGTTATTTTATTTTTGTCCCAGAATGATCTTTTATTTACCATTATTCTATTACTTCGGTGATTCAGCTAACACAATTATACTTGGGTATATGGTCCATGGGCTTTACAGTCATGGGTATCAATTTTCTAAATATCCAACAGTGGGATTTGAAGCTAAGGAAATACTACTTTAATTTGGACAGAGTGTGTGACCTTCTTATTTTACCCTCAGCAGCCAGTGAAAGGATACCCATCTTAGCCACCAAAGTCTTTAGGAAGAAAAGTAAATTTCCCAGTAAAAAATATAAACTCTACAGACCAAAATCACAGAGTCAGGGCTGGGGGTGGATATGTTGGCAATTTCTAACTTAGAGCAAGAAATATGTATAACCATGAGAACTAACCTGATAAGAAAATGTTATTCTCTACCCTTTTCCCCCTGGAAAGCTTTTTAGTGTATTGGTTTCAAGTGTGAAAATGAAGGATGTGAACACATGACCATATTAAAATATAAGAACAAGTACGTGTCCCAAGGTAAAAATAATTTTCTATACATAATCCCTCATCTCTCTCTAGGAGAGACATTATGGCATAGTAGACAGAAAGCCAACCTAAGAGGTGTGAGTTCCATATTAGCCTTGGACGTATATTAGTTGTGTGACCAAGGTGAAGTGGGGAAAACAATTTTCTAAGTCTACAAATGAAAGGAAAAAATGATGATTCCCATCACTACATAATTATTTCACACAAATATTTCCCAAAATGATGAAATCACAGGATGAGATACAGACATCCCTCAAAAAAAACTTTTTATGCTTTATTTAATTCTTCTTGACATTATAAAGCAGCATCTTTACCTTGGATACCTATCAAATATATGTATCTCTATCATATATAAAACATACATGTATATATGTATATATGTATCTGTACACACATATATGTATGTATACATGTATAAGCTTAAAATTTCATTGTCTTTCTAGATACCTTATATACATTTCAAAGAACCTGCAATTCCATTCATGTGTGTAATTCCTTAAGATGCATATTGTAATGCAGCTATACCTGTCTATATGATACTTTTGTCTATAGTTTCCCATAAATTCAGTACAGGGTATGTACTTACTATGATGAGCCCATAGTGAAGTTCTCTTCATATTACATGGGTTCCAATGTGGGCTCTCCCATCAATTGTCCCTTGTTTTCACTATCTGACCAACCCACTGCCTTTTCCAGTAACACATTAATTTGATGCTATCCTTTACATAACTATTACATGCAATTCTTTATTTTTAATGTTTTACAGCCCGCTCATAGTCACCATGTGCATCTCCATTGACCTTTGGAAACATACAGTTCTTAAAAGTGCATGTTAAAGGTGAGATGCAGTACCAACTCAGGAAATTAGGGAACTTAGTTTCACATTTGAGCACTGCTATTTACTGCAAATTTGAGCAAGTTGCTTAACATCTCTGGGCCTCATTTTCTTCAATGGTAAGATAACAGGGGTGGACTAGATGAATTCTAAGGTATTTTCTGAGTCTCAGTTTATCTGTTAATTATTAAATCCCGCATGTGTTCTATTTACTGCGGGAGTTCAATCAGACTTGAATAATATCAACAATAAACTCATTAACAAAACTAAGGATTTGTTATTTATAATTCTTAAGAACAGGTCAGAAACACCTGGTAGGGAAAATAAATGTGCCAATCCATCATCTCGGCCATTCCCCAGGATCAGGTGATTTTTGTTTATTTGGTAGACTTTGCAACAGCATGCACTAAATAAGGACACTCTGAGCTGGCAATGATCCAGGATCCAATATCATCAAAGTTTCAGATTTAGGTCAGAGGAAGCTTATCATAGCCACTTTGACTTTGACAGACATAGATAACAGTTGGTCTCTGTCTAAATCATCTTCTGGGAAAAATGGGGAGAGGAAGGGTTAGTTTTGATTTGCTCAAAGAGTTTTCAAGGCTCTACAGCCCATAATTAAACTGAAAACACTGGATGAGTCATAGAATTAACTAATTTTTCTAGGCAACTTTCACAAAATTAGGGCTACTTTGAAATTATTTTAAGATTAGAACAGGATACTTGTCATAATGTCATGGACCCATAAATGTGTTTGGCCAAAAATTGTTGGGACTAGCCCTGGAGATTAATGTGTGAAAGCAAACATGGTGTGGGAGGTTCCAGTCTCAGCTCTGACAGGTCTTAGCTTCGGGGAGGAGCAAGTCACGTCAGCTCTGAAAGGCTCAATTTTTTTTATTTGGAAGAGGAGTAAATAATACTTTCACTAATTAATTAGAAGGGTTGTTGGTGGGGATGGGGGGGGGAAAGGTAAGCACTTGGCCAACATGAAAATGCTAAACAAATGGAAGATGAATATCACTCCTAATGACTTACAAGGTATTAAAGTTGGTGAGTAGAAAGTAAGCTAAAAAAAGAAATGTGCCCTCCCTGTATGCCCAGTGGACCAACTGAGTGGCATACAAGCATCATTCCATTTACCTAGTCACTGGTATATTCTTTTCATTGTCATGCTTCCTTATCCAAAAGTACCTGGGATCCTGTGCCAAGAACTTTCTTTATAAAAAAAAAGTACAAAAATAATGTAAAAATGTGTATTCCAGAATCTGAGAGGTCAGGAGAGGGCAGGTACTTGGGCAGGAGGCTGTCAAAATGCATGAATTTGGATAACTGTTCTTGAATGCTTTGCTGTAAGGTGAATGCTTCTGACAAAACCCTGCCAACTAATGGAGACTGTGAGTGACCCTGATACTGTCAGCCAAACAACTGCTGAACCAGTGGCCATTTCCACCACTTAATTTGCTAGAAAACTGTTCAACGGTAAAATAAACCCTACTGTTGGGAATTATTTTCAATTTGTATGCAGTGCCCATCAGAGATCTCTGGCCATACTTACAATGATTTTTACATAGCCATTAAAAGTTTCCTGACATTCAGTCTGGGTTTTCCTTGCTCCATTTTATGCCATTACTTCTGATTATAGCCCATTAGACCACACATTTTACAATACCTTTACTATTGTTTTTTTTTT